ATACATGTAGATTTTATCCCACATATATGAAATATTTTTTCTACTTGTATAGCACTACTCATTTCATAAGTACCTTATTCAGCCTTCTCTTAATCATGTTCCTCAATTAACCTCAGTGAAACAGAAGCAAAACTATCATGGTTACAAAGTAAGATGCTACGATAATCAATTTTTGCAAGTCTTAAAAATAAAAATAAAAAAAGGCAAGCCAATGCATGAGATTTCCTCCATTACAAAGGAACGAGGAAAGGTCAGATATATGCAATCTTTACAAGTACACACAAAAATCCTTTTTGGAGCATCAAAAAATAATAAGTATATGGGGATGTATTTTTAGAGTCGTGCAACGTGGCCGAGATATGGCTGAGGCATTAGCCGAGGTGCCACGTGGATGGACCAAGTTTCCGAAATGATTGTGGTGTTGTTGAGATATGGTGCGGTAACACTGGAATCCGAGATATTTAAATAGAGGATAAGAATCCTAAGTAAGTGAGGTGCTAGTTCGGATAGGGATAAGGCTCCTGTCGAGTTCATCCATATCTAATTAAGAGTTTGAGATAAACAATGTGCTTGAGTCCTATGAAATGAGATTTCTAAGGGACGAGGGCACTGTTGACTATAAAGTAAGGCACTACGTGGGTCTAAGGTATGCTTTTTACTTGTGCACTGAGTATTTGTTTGATATCCTTGAGAGATAAGATTGACTGACTAGGTATTCTTGTCTTCTTATTGATAAGTACTTGGTTTAATCTATCCTGTAGCATACTCTCCAGTTAGGTTTCCTATTTAGTTATGAAGGTCGGAAATCAGCACCCACAAAGTATACACAAAAATCAATCATCTCTTCATTTGAGTTAAATCAAACTACCTCAATCACCTAAAGTGCACGAGCTACCTTCACAGCAAAGCTTTCACATTATGCAACCCCTTCACGTATTAATTCTCCCTAGTTCTTCAGTAGTTTAATGTATCAGTAATCAACTTATGCAGAATTCCCTACCCACAAGTCAAAATGATATTCTAGCACCAACGATACAAATTATCAAACCGAATTGAATTCGGGAAATCACTTTCCACCCAAGTATATTACCTTCTCACTTTGCGACTAACACTGATATTCCATCTCAAGCGGCAGTCAAGATCAAACCTTTTTTTCACTAAAATGTCCAATCAAACACAATAGTGCATCATCATTTCCATCTTCAACAGGACCTAAAGACTCACTAAATGGGACATGAACACTTCCAGACTCTGCAAACCCTTCTTGATCATGGAGAAAATAACTACAAAAAAAAATGTCATGTGTGCTGTAAAAACCAGCTGTTGGTTATACCTAATAAGTGTGTCTATCGCAGGCAAATAAACAAACCACTAGCGTCTTAAGTTAAATATTACAACCCGAGTCATTGAAGAAAACTTATTAACATCTGGCAATAAACAATCTCTCTGTCATAAGATGCATACATATATTTATGTCACCTAGGACCCAACTCAGAACAATTTTTGATGCAGTATCATTTAGCACAATATCAGCTGGCCAAATCGCACTAATGCAATTCATTTGCCCTACTATCATACAGAAAATGCAAATCATATATCTATGCAGCCACTCTTCCATAAAAAAAATTCATTCTAGAAGATTTTTCTGTATTACAGCAATCAAAAGCAGGTACACTTTCTCATGTTATGACCACATTACTGAAAAGCAACTGAACTTTGAAGAGAAAGCCCAAGTGGTTTCTGTTGGAAATAATTTATATTTCCAACAGTTTCATCAATCAAGAGCAGCACACCTACAAAAACTAGTAGCAAGTATATCTTTTTTTTTTTTTTTTTGATCGGCAAAAAAGACAAATATTATAGCAAGTATATCTATAATTGAAAAAACCCAAAGAAATAAAAGAAAAGGAAAAATCTCCCAAATTAGCAAGTGAAAAACCCACAATATACACAGATTTTCACATAAGCACCTGTATGAATTATTTAAGCCATGCAAACAATGCGAAGAACTACTACTTGTCTGACACGAGGTGTGTAGTACAAAAAGGATGCATCATTTTTTTTTTTTTTTGTTAAAAGCTTTTGGGGGCGATTTTTTTTCACTTACCGTAATTGAGATACATTTCTCTTAAGATTTGAGATACTTGCCAATGAAGTTGAGATTTACTTTTATTTTATTTTTTTTCCCTTTGTAAGTAGAGGATTACTGTGGTGAAATGGCAAAGACAATATGGAATTTTGCATGGGAAAATTGTACTACCACAAAAGAAGGGAAGAAGAAATTGAAGTCTAATAATATTTCCAACAAATATTAGGAAGAGGGAGACCACTTGAAAGTTTGTTCCATAATGACCTAGAACTAGTATAAGTTTGTGGCTTCTTGTTAAAACAAATAAGAGAACATGAAAAAAAGTTCTAAGAAAAGATAAATGACAACGACAAAATTTATTAATCAGCCAATGTTCTAGAGATTGAAATGCTAAGCTTCCGATTACTAAGAAGGTTTATTGCCTTCTTGAAAGGGGAAAATAAAATGAATGGAACTACTCTGTACTTCTGAGGCCACCGAATGCAGCTACAAATTTTCTTGATTAAATCAGACCAGTGAGTAATGAGTAATGAGTATTTTATCCTTTGACATCTTTCACATAGGCCCAAAACACCACAATTAACACCATGTGGTTGGATCCAAATATTACAATTAATTAACCCATGTGGTCAGGATAAAACAGAATGACCACAAGCAGCAGTCCCCTGAGCCCACACGATATTGTGCACAGCTGTAATAAGCAAATCCAGACCTCACCTAAAAGGGCTAGCCTAAAATATCATATGGGTTCATTGTTCCCACTTATATACCCAAGACCCTAACACAAAATCCCAATGAGGAATTCAACACATGCCAACCCGGGTCAGGGGCATTACACAAACATATGCCAATGAACAACTAAAGTTGTTAGAATTTCCCATCTTTACCTTCACCTACTCCCCTACACACTCCACTTCACCTACCTCTACTCCACTACACACTCCACTTCACCTAACCCACTATCACCTCCACTACACCTACTACCACATTGAATGCAGCTACAAATTTTCTTGATTAAATCAGACCAGTGAGTAATGAGTAATGAGCATTTTATCCTTTGACATCTTTGACATAGGCCCAAAACACCACAATTAACACCGTGTGGTTGGATCCAAATATTACAATTAACCCATGTGGTCAGGATCAAACAGAATGACCACAAGCAGCAGTCCCCCGAGCCCACACGGTATTGTGCACAGCTGTAATAAGCAATCCAGACCTCACCTAAAAGGGCTGGCCTAAAATATCATATGGGTTCATTGTTCCCACTTATATACCCAAGACCCTAGCACAAAATCCCAATGAGGAATTCAACACATGCCAACCCGGGTCAGGGGCATTACACAAACATATGCCAATAAACAACTAAAGTCACAAGAGAAAAGTTGGGAAAAGGAAAGCAAACGCATATTTTATTAAATCAATTTATTTTATATTTTGTTTACAATTCAGTAATATGATCAACATAAATGGAAATGTTAAAAGGATGAGAAAACTGAAACTGACATGGAATGCAGTGGTAGGCACCCCTTCTAGTTTTTAGTGAAAAAAGAGAAAAGTTGGGAAAACAAGGCAAGGAGTATTTCATAATTTATACAAGTCAATTTGTTTTATATATTGTTTATTATTCAATGATATGATTACCATAAATGGAATTGTTATAGAGGGGAAAAAATTATTTAATTTAACCGAGTATATAGCTCTTGACATAGTAAAATGACAAAAAAAAATATTCATGTAACAAACCTCACTTAGGCCCTGTTTGGTACAGCTTAATTTCAGCTTATTTCAGCTTTCAGCTTAATTTAAGCTATTTTGATGTGTTTGGTTTAGCTTATAGCTTATAGCTTATAGCTTTGTGGAAGTCAGAAAACAGCTTATTCTTTAAGTGGGGCAGGAGATGCTTTAAGAATAAGCTGGAAATCAGCTTAAGCTGAAAGTTATAAGCTAGAAAAAGAAAGCAAACGCATATTTTATTAAATCGATTTATTTTATATTTTGTTTACAATTCAGTAATATGATCAACATAAATGGAAATGTTAAAAGGATGAGAAAACTGAAACTGACATGGAATGCAATAGTAGGCACCCCTTCTAGTTTTTAGTGAAAAAAGAGAAAAGTTGGGAAAACAAAGCAAGGAGTATTTCATAATTTATACAAGTCAATTTGTTTTATATATTGTTTATTATTCAATGATATGATCACCATAAATGGAATTGTTATAGAGGGGGAAAAATTATTTAATTTAACCGAGTATATAGCTCTTGACATAGTAAAATGACAAAAAAAAATATTCATGTAACAAACCCCACATAATTAGGACACAAGGCTTAGTTTGACTTTATAATTCAAACTATTAGCAGAAATATTTTGACCAAAAATCTCAAATGTAATAACAGAGGCGTAAAGAAGAACATTACGAAAAACAATGTAGACAATGGGCAAATGCATTTATCATAGGACAACAGTGATGATAATAGTCATTTTCAGCCTAAAGACAATAAAGCTGAAAAATAATATCTATATCTTCTACATATTTGAACTGATTTAAAGGATAAATATCGAAGACTAAAGACGAGATCGTACAAGCACTTCAGATTTACAAATGTAAAATATCTATAGTTTTAGATACTTGTGATTTCTCTTTGGTAGGAAATAGTGACTAATAATTTTCTACTAATCATGATAAATAGATGGAATCAAATGTCAAATGTAATTTAATTAATACATGAGCACTAGCATTTAGTGTCTAAGAAAAGGATGATTATAGTAAAAGGGTGACAAAGAAGACACAGACATGTACAATGGACAAATAGGAAAATGCCAGTGTACCCCACGAAGAAAAAAAAAGGAATCCAAGTTCTCTACAAATTCAAAAAATATCAAGGGACAATTTTCACTCTAATCTTCTCCCAACTAAAAATGGTCTCCAAATAAACTACTATTTGATTTATGAATCGATTCTTCCAATATGATACATTTTTCAGAGAACTCAACAGAGCATACATAACATGATAATAAAGTGGTCAACATTGTTTAAGACCAAAAATAACATAGAAGAACAAGAACAAAAGAAAGTGTATTTCTAATTTCCCTTAGATATCATCTAACATGAAATACAGTGATTTTGTGACCAGCCCTGCCCTCCAGCTATATCCACGATCATGAGCAGTAACTCTGTCACTGAGAGCCCTTCGCTCGGAAACGTTCATGATTTCCTTTACCTTACTAGAAGGATACTTCCTGCCTATTTTGCAAGCATCGGAATGAGCAAAAATGCCTTGATACTATGAACTAGCATAATATGAGTACCTTTATGGGAAAATAATAATGCTCAAGCAAAAATTTGAACTTGTATAGATGAATCAATAGTAGCATTAAGATCTAAGTTTATATATGTGCAACAAAGTGTCAACATACAAATTGTCCAAACAACATGCCACCCATGTGCAAATATAGTCAAAAATCAAAAGAAAGAAATCAGAGTATTGTTTTTGCAACAATCGCCAAACTATTAAGGATTACCAAAACATATTTAAAACCGAAGATAAGAGCCACAAAAAGAACAAAACGAAGAAGGAATTTCACAATTGGCCGAGATAACTCTATGTGAACTTTCTTTGTAAAAATAGAATCATTAGCAACAAAATGATATCAAAGTTCCATCAACAAAAAAATAGAAACTATTCAATAAATACTGAAAGATCTTATGATCTTATGACAAGGATTATCCTAGAAAATCTACTCACAGCGAGCAACTGGAAGAGCAGCAAAATCGACAAAATCTCCTCCTTTAGAAACTTCAGAGCTCAAACTCTTCGTCCCGAAGGGCCATCTCTGCAGCCTCTTCTTCCTCCTCATTGAGAACAAAGTACTCATTCTTCTCAGCTGGCCTGAACATATAAAACATCACCATATAAAACGCAAGACTCGCGATTTCCTCAGCCGCATTACTCACCCATTGGTACTTATATGCCGAAATCGTCTTGAGAGCAAAAACAACAATCCTAGTGAAATACAAGTACCCAATCACCACAATATAGAACTGCCTAAAAAGGGTTAATTTCGCCAAATTCCTCGCGGCCTTCCCATCCGTCTTCGACGTCTCTCTCAAAGACCTAATCGACCACACAATTGGGAAAATAATGGCACAACAACACACAATATCAACCAACAAGAACACCTGGTTCCAAGTAACCCAATCCTTGATAAACGGCCCGGTTTCGCCAATCACAATCGAAGCCACATTGGCTAAAACCTGAAGGGGAATCACAATCATCAACACTTTCTTCTCCTTGTCTTGCAAAAACGGTTTCAAAAACGACCAACCAGTCCCAATCAAAACAATCACAGTAAACAACAACACAACCCTAATGAACTGAAAAATATAGAACAGAACATCCCATCCGTGAGGCGTACCGGTAACTTTGACGTAATGCTTGTCCTCGGCAGCGCAGATGAGATTGAGAGCCTTCATCAAGAGCAATCCAGACATGAGAAGATGGATCCGATGAACCGATCGTTTGTTTTGAAAACAAAAAGAGATCCAAAACCCTAGAAATCCGAAATAGGAAATAGAGAAGAGGAAGAAGATTGAAGGGAGGTGAGTGAGGCCAGCAGAGAGATAATCCTTGATTCCGCCATTGTCGAGGTTGTAGAGGTCGGTTCGAACGTCCATGTTGACCTGGCTTTGAACGGCGCAGTTGGAGAAGAAGAGGCTGTACTCGTTGGGGGAAGAGACGGTGGAGGAGTGGTTGATGGAGGAGTGAGGAGGAGGAGAGAGATCGCGGAAGGTGAAGAGTTGGAGGATGAAGTTGGAATCGAGGACGCAGAGATTGGGGGATTGTTGGAGTTGGAGGAGGACTTGGATCAGGGATTCTTCCGAGAGGAGGAAGAAGCCCAGCCGGGAGGGGTCGGGGCTGGCCACGGAGGAGGTCACGGACACGCCGGAGACCGTGATGTTCACGTGGCCGGTGTGGGTGAACCCGAACTTCTCGAAGAGGATCATGGGTCGGTCGTCCGCGATGATTTTTAGGTTTTTGATCTCGCCGGTGGCGCCGGAGACGAGGATGGAGATCAGGGCGGCGGCGAGGATCGCCGCGAAGGGTGTTTTCGGCATTTTTGGGGGAGAGAGAGAGAGAGAGAGAGAGAGGTGGTGGTGGAGGACAAGGTGGTCGTTGTGAGATGGGAAGAGAGCCGTTAATGGTTCAACTTCCAAGGAGGAACGAAAGTTATTTTTTGCTTGTTCTTTTTTATTTGATTAAAATTACAAATAGACCTGTCAATTTTGTTTAAAATATGATATTTTTTTTAAAAAAAAAATTAAGGAAAAATAGAACAAATAGACCTGGTTTTTTTTTTTTTTTTTTAACAAGTATTCTTCCGGCACTTGTTAAAAATATATTTAATAACATAAAAAAATTACATGTAAGTGAGATAAAGGAAAAAAAAATTATGAAAAATTTACAATCAAGTCTTATTTTTGACAAATAATGGTACCTTAGATCATACTTACAAAACTTTAAATTGATAAATGCTCTATTAATTTTATATAACCAATCTATCCTTACAAATTCAAAAATACAAAACACCCCATCTACTCCTCTCTCTCTCTCTCTCTCTCTCTCTCTCTCAAATCTTAGGCTCTGTTTGGTGGGATTTTTGAAATTTAATTCTATTTCTTAATTTGAGTGTATTGTTTGGTTACAGTTTTAGAAAATTAATTCTACACCTATTTTTCAAGACACTTTTCAAAACATAAACTTTTCAATATCATATGTCACATCATTCAATTCAAACTTTTTTTAAAATTCATAACCAAACAAATTTTCTAGACTCAAATCATAATTTCAAAACTCACAAACTCAAAATACAACTCTATTATCAAATCATAATTCTAAGGCTCTACCAAACGCAACCTTAAACTTTTTTGGTTTTTTATTTACAAATTCCAAAGCAACAAACTTAGAAGATCATCTACTATCATCAAACATTGATATCAATTGGAAATATTCTCATATTCGAATACTCTTTTTTTTTCTCTTAATTAGCAAAACAACTATCTAGAATATTGCTGTGCAAAATTAATAATATTCTCAGATTTAAAAAAAAAAAAAAAAAACTAATAATATTATCAATTTTATTAGATAGTCAAATCAAACCAAAGGACAAAAGGACAAAAAAATATTTATATCTCAAAATAAGACTTGTTGGTCCAAAAAAAATCTTGAATAGGACCTAAACTACCACAGTGTTGGTGAATAGAACTTTTAGGTAATTAATCAAAAACTTATTAACACGTGGAGGTGCAAATGTGTCTATGATAGAGTGTAAATAAAAGGTTATGGGAGTGCAAGTTACACCCCAAATCCCGTGTTTTTTTTTTTTTTTTTTTTTCATTCTCCTACTTGCACGTAATTTTCCTAATAACATAAACAACATCCACTATTATAAAAAGTTGCGAAGGCCATAAAGAGATGGCCTTCTCTCCGGTCCACAAAGTGGACTGGATCGTACTGTTGGGTCAGTGAGGTTTATCATGGGTCTTATTTTAATAATTTAAACCGTTCAGTATATGAAACTCGTCTAGTACTTCATACCTACAAAACATTACGTTAATTAGATATCGATAGCTCTTTAATCAAAACTTATTTTTGTTAATAATTTATTTTTAAAATAATATTTAGCATTGACAAAAAATATGTTTCGATTAAGGGATTATCAATATTCGATCAATGTGATTTTTTACAGAATGAAATACTCAACGAGTTTTACACATTGAATAATTTAAATTATCAAAATAAGACCCGTTGTAGATCCCATAAGCCCAGCAACACAGTCCAGTGAACTGGAGAAAACTTACCCAGCAATCAATATACATTATTAAAGAATTAGTTTTTTTCTAAAAGGGACTAAAATATCCTTCTAACCATTTTTTTTTTATTTGATACAATTTCCTGTAGTTTACGTTTTTATTTACTCCCTTTTTCTTTCTTTTTTTTGTTTTTATCCTTTCATTTTTCACGGTTTTCTTTTTAGCATATATTATTTTTCACAAATTAATGAATTGGAAAAGTTTTGCTATCTGTCTCTAATAGCAGCTAATGTCACCGCAAATCTTCTTTTGTTTGTCTCTAATAGCAGCTAATGTCACTACAAATCTTCTCTTTTTAGTAGTATCTTACAAAAAAAACTCATACATATTTCAAAGTGAGATTTTTAATATTTAAATATGATAAAAATATACAAACGAAAAATATATACAATATATATATATATTAAATGTGTCACGACTCGCTCTCCGTATCCAAAGATTAAAGTATCATGATGGTCAGTAACTGAGATTATCTCCGGTCAATTCTTAAACAAATCAACAAACGCGAGCTGAAGTAATATTTAAATGAGGGTACTAAAATAATCATCAGAGTTTCTATTTTTATTACAAAATGTATTGACCAGAAAGGTCGATATTTACATAGAAAAATATCAATAAAAGTGTTGTGTGTGTCTATTCCGCAGCCTCGCATGTAAGACTTTTCAAAAGCTATTTCTGAATTTCATTGTTTTCTGAAATTTGATAAATAGCTATAAGCATATGGCAGAGTGAGAAATATTATACCAAGAGTATAAGGGAGACGAAATAACCATGGATAGTTAGTTAGGCCAAAACATTTACATAACTCAGTTTGGTAAATAAATCATTTAAGTAGCAGAACTAAAATATAGAAATTATGTAAATATATAACCATAACCATGGTACAGAACAAAACACAGGTCACAGAAGTGACAGTCAGAACAGAGGTACGGATTCAAGAGGTGGCTTGTACGAACTCTAGAGGTGGCTCCAACAATAGTGTAGCATTTAGCTCCGTACAACACTTTGCTCTGCACCGAATAGACGTCAATGGATCTACAACAAACAGAGAACCACAAAGTAGTCAAACAGAGGCCAATGGTTATTTAAGTCCCCCAAGGTGTGGGACTCCCATGGTGGTACTTACAAAACATAATTGTATATAAAGTTATAGTCAAATATTCTTTAAAATATAAACAAACATATTCATTGGTTTCATTTTCACAAATAGGGTTCAGAAATTAAACCACCTAACTGAAATAGTAATATAACTTATAATAATTTATAAAACATAACTTATATAAAATATATATGGTAAGTCAAAACATTCGTAAAATATATTATTATAATTCAAAATATAATATAACTCACTTTAATTTTAATATCTCACTCTTTCTTTTTACTATTAAATTCTTCATAATAGCAGCTAATGTCACTACAAATCTTCTCTTTTTAGTAGTATCTTACAAAAAAAACTCATACATATTTCAAAGTGAGATTTTTAATATTTAAATATGATAAAAATATACAAACAAAAAATATATACAATATATATATATATATATTAAATATATCACGACCCGCTCTCCGTATCCAAGGATTAAAGTATCGTGATGGCCAGTAACTGAGGTTAACTCCGGCCAATTCTTAAACAAATCAACAAACGCGAGCGGAAGTAATATTTAAATGAGGGTACCAAAATAATCATCAGAGCTTCTATTTTTATTACAAAATGTATTGACCAGAAAGGTCAATATTTACATAGAAAAATATCAATAAAAGTGCTGTGTGTGTCTATTCCGCAGCCTCGCATTTAAGACTTTCCAAAAGGTATTTCTGAATTGCATTGTTTTTTGAAATTTGGTAAATAGCTATAAGCATATGGCAGAGTGAGAAATATTATACCAAGAGTATAAGGGAGACGAAATAACCATGGATAGTTAGTTAGGCCAAAACATTTACATAACTCAGTTTGATAAATAAATCATTTAAGTAGCAGAACTAAAATACAAAAATTATGTAAATATATAATCATAACCATGGTACAGAACAGAACAGAACAGAACAGAGGTCACAGAAGTGACAGTTAGAACAGAGGTACGGATTCAAGAGGTGGCTCGTATGAATTCTAGAGGTAGCTCCCACAATAGTGTAGCACTTAGCTCCGTACAACACTTTGCTCTGCACTGAACAGAAGTCAATGGATCCATGACAAACAGAGAACCACAAAGTAGTCAAACAGAGGCCAATGGTTATTTAAGTCCCCCAAGGTGTGGGACTCCCATGGTGGTACTTACAAAACATAATTGTATATAAGGTTATAGTCAAATATTCTTTAAAATATAAACAAACATATCCATTGGTTTCGTTTTCACAAATAGGGTTCAGAAATTAAACCACTTAACTGAAATAGTAATATAACTTATAATAATTTATAAAACATAACTTATATAAGATATATATGATAAGTCAAAACATACGTAAAATATATTATTATAATTCAAGACATAATATAACTCACCTTAACTTTAATATCTCACTCTTTCTTTTCACTACTACAAATCTTCAAAACTTCCACTTTTTTTTCCTTTCTTTCTTTCTTTTCTTTCCCTCATTTCTCTCTTCTTTCACAGGATGATCGACTCTCCCTATAGGGAGGAAAACTCAATCTCTGGCCAACACGTGTCCAGCCGAATCAACCCGCGTATCTCTCTCCAGATTCGGCCATTAATATATAGATTCATATTTATTTTTTATAAATATATAAGATTATTACATTTTGACCTAATTTTTTAATATAATTATATAAATAAATTAATTTTTAATTAAATTACACTTTATCGTATACTAATAAAAAATTAATTATTTATTTTATTACCATACTCATTATTATTATTATTATTATTATTTATACTTTGACCCCTAAATTCATAATAATTATAGGTTATTTGGAAAATTGATTGCCTTTTTGAATTTTTTAGTTATTTTAGCCTGGGCTAAAAAACTTAATTTGGGAAAGGCTTTTTAACTTTTTGACTTTTTTATGAGAGAAGAGTGTAATGATTATGGGTTGGATGTGATGTTTTGTTTATTGTGTCTAAAATAGCCTATTTTGTCTTTTGTGACTATTTACAAAATTATATATAATAATACAAAATAGATCATATATTTTTTCAACTGTAATTAAATAATATTAGTATAAATTTTACAAAATAATTAAAAATCTGAATTGTTACAAAATGATGTGTTGAATTATAAACCTGTCATTTTAAAATCTGAATTATAAAAATAAAATCTGAATCTGAATTTTAAATGATGTGTTGAATTGTTACAATCTGAATTCAACAATGATGTGTTGAATTGTTACAATCTGA